GCTTTTGTTACACCTATATCAAAAGAACTTCGTGTAATATGTGAAAGTAAATTATTGATTACGTCCAATACATAATTATATTCCGAGGTAGGGGTGATTAGTGGAACTACCCCTGATTGGTTGGTTTAGGGTTGAAAAAATGACTCACGCAGGGTGTAAAGTATTGACTAAACAATTAGTTCTACCCTTAAAATATATTTTTATATTAGTTTACGTTATAGTTACTGGGATTTCTCGTTAACGGAATCGAAAGGGATGGAAAAATATTCGAACATTTACGAACTACATGAGGGTTGTAATTTATTCTTTTATTGAAAACTGTTAACGTTTGTACAGATTTATTTAATAAAAGATACAATTACTTCGACAAATCCCCTTGCTTATTTTTTATACAATGTATAGGTATATAAAGTGGAAACGATTCTTCGAATTTACTCAATATTGATTGAACATTTTTTATTTATAATAAATCGCATTAAAATATTTTTAATCAAATAAAGTTTATAATCCATATATTTTCATAATAGATAAAACTTTCAAGGTTTATTATTTGATAAAACGTCTACTTATGTTTGTATTGTAGCCAGAAGACAAGGAGGTGACTTACGATTTTGTTATTTAAAGTTTAAATACCTAATTCAATAAGTGATTTTTTTATATCGATTTGAGAAAAGCAAACATAATTGGAGTGCTAGTAAATAACCATTAATTTTTTTGTCAAAAATTCATGTTCTCATAGAAATTCGAAATTTGTACCTAATCTGGTTGAATTCCGGAAATAACATCTATAATATTTGATTAACGATTACATTTTTTTTGTTTTCGCCATTTACATTTCGTTACCGATTAGGAAACGAATTTACCGCATGCTTTTAGAATAAATAAAAATAAAATTATTTATATAAATTATGACCAGATAATAAGTTTCCGGTAAGTATTACCTTTTTTTGGACTTATAACAATGTAATTTAACGCATACTCACGTTTTAATTTTGAATGGGTTGAATAAGAACGTTATTAAAATAAACCTTACCACCAGTTAATGAAAATGCGCTACAATTAACTTATAGCAACAGTGTTGTATTAGTTATGGTTTCTTTTTTTAGATCAAACAATTTACTAAATCAGGAATGCCACGATTAAAATATAGTTATTAGTTTCTTTTTTTAAAGTTGATTAGAAATGTTTTTCATTACTCGATTAGCCTTTTGATTGCTCAATTCAAAATTCCTATCGGCTGGGCTATTGTTAAGATAATAAGTGGAACATTCGAAGAAATTCTTTAGAAGATGGAAGAAACAAAAAAAGGAAAAAGCACCTCTTAGGGACAAAGTATTAAATTATATTATTTAGTTTAATAGCACGGTGTTTTTGCTGGTATAATTAATTAGGAAAAGTAAGTACATTATTACTTCAATTGCTATCATTACTATGTCAACTGTCAATAAAATATAAACTATTTTAATTATAAGACGACTTGAATAATAAGTTATTAAGTATTATTAATTTGCGCAAAGAATTATATTAGTTATGAGGTTGTCATCTTTAATTATATCAGTTATTTGTTGCTGTTAATTTAAATTTCAAAAGCTCTGTAGGTATTTTTTTGTTGTTCAAAAATTTCACACCTGAAAAGCGCATCGGATGTGTAATAATTTCGAGGTTTCCAATGGAGTAAAAAATTACCTGTGCTACTTAAAATTCGTCGGAAGGGCTAAAAGTGTACTTCATTGTCCGCAATAAGGGTTAGTTATATGTCTGCAGATCGCATCCTCTTTCAAAGGTGCAATACATGATACCTCCCAGCCAGCTCAATAATACCTTCAACGTGTATAAATGAAGAGAAATGATTCATTCGCGTTGGTTAACTGTAACCTCAGGACCGTGGATTTGCTGGAAGATAAGTCCAAGACAATGAAATGTAACGAAACGATTTTAAAGCAGGTAACAATCGACAAAATTTATTCCGTACGTTTGGATTAACGTGTGTTATCGTATCAATAAAAATTTCTTATATTCATAAATTTTAGTTTAGAGAAAACCGTTGACACTATTGTTGGATGCTCGCTCAATTTTAAATTAAATTTAAATTCTCATTACACATTCTTCTATTAATAAATAATTTAATAAGAAATAAGAAATACAAAAAAAACTAGCACTTTTTTCATCCGTTCGGAGATTTAATAATCTCTGCGCCGACTGGAATTTTTGATGAAAAATTTTTTAATAATCCCTGTGCCTATACGGAGCAAAAATAAAGACGCTCGCTCACTCCTTCGAGACAATGCGAATGCGTATGATTTCTTTTATAATACATCTTGTAAAGTCTCTTCAACCCCTATAAGCAAAAATATTCCTTCTGTGCCGTATTGATTTTTATCCACATCCAAGGAACGAGCCAGCGAGTGTTTGTATGAAATTAAGCATGTGCATTTACAATAAACAGCAGGGCCGCTGTTTTATATACTAGACACTGTATAATGAATTTGTGTTAGAGTCTGTCCTTATCTAAACGCGCTGCTTAAGGCGCTATCTACATCTTTACATTCTCTTCAAGAAGTTACAACGAAACCTTCATATTTCGGTGGATATAACGAAAATAAAAGAATCATTACCCCGGGAAAATGTTTATATCCTTCCTTCTTTACTTTATCATCTTCTCCGGAGTTTCCATTGACAACGCAGTTTAATAATAAAACAGTCTTGGCAGTAAAACCACTGCTCCAATTAACACAGAAATACTCATCAGTAAATAAATCACCGAGAATAAGTAACAAAGTTTCCCGTATGATGAAACAAATCCCAAAAAAACACCGTGCAATTTAATCGAACATTTCGTATTTAAATGCATATACCCGAGAAGTCGACTTAATGATATTATGCAGATCGAAACCCACGCAAGCCCGTGGCAGACCGTTTAAAGTTGATCAAAGAAAAACTCAAAAGATAAACAGACTCGAAAGAATACGTTGTCAATAATGACAAATTAACTCCCACCTCGAATCATATATTATTCAAATGAATTCATTTGTGAGGCGTTAAGAATATTGTAGTATCTGGTCGAATGCATGTCGATAATTTTTAAATAAATAAAGCATAACTAAATGCATACAATTAAGGGTCGATAAATCAAACTCCGGGGCCACCGAACGGTATTAACAATGCTTTGCGCTAGGAAATTCTGAATATCTCTTCGATAAAAAAAATATTAATCGATTTGTTTCAGAATGGTTAAATGAATGAACACCTTGGACGCAAATAAATCTAGTAACTAATGCTCGTATATTTCTAACAGTTCAGCAGGACTAATTGTTATGCAGTTAATAATTTAACGATGGCAAAAGAAGAAATCGAAGATGTTATCGTATTATTGCGATTAAATGAAGTCGAACCGACGCGGTTTTAAAAAAAATAAAGGCGCGATAAAAAAATCATAAACCTAAAATATACCATGTTGGATTTAACTGCATTCTACATACATTCGAACAGGATCACGCCGAGCCGATGCAATCGGCGTTATCCATTCGCAATCGTGGAGCTGTTGCTGACCGGCAGGCATTCCACTGACCGACTGCATTGACACCTACCGGGTTGGGTTTGTGGTGACATGCTATGAAATAGTCTTTATTACCTTAAGGAATCGAATCACTATATGTGTACTTTAAAACTATATCTCATGCTTTTATTTGATTAGGTTTATTTGCTCCGATATCGATGTTGGCGTGGGCGAGCATTTGCATAGAGTCATTTAATGGACATTATGGGTTTATTTAGACAATCGAAGATCGAAAGAAGAGAAGGTTATTTTGTTTTGTTCGAGATGATTTTTTTCAGGTGGGTTTTACAGTACAACAATTATAAGATTCGAATTTATATACTCCACCTTCGGACGGACTGGTGCTTTTATTGTTTTAAAAATTTGCTTCGAGATTGCGGATAAAATGTAACGTTATCCTTTTTAAAACGTAATGGCTTTTTGCGTATAAAGATTGTTATCAAAAGATGTACACAAAAGAATATTCAAATTGTTCCTTGGGTACCGGGTGGCGGTAATAAATCGTAAAAATTGTTGACAATTAAAAGGATTTAAAAAAAAAACTCATTCAATGTTTCAATGTGATTCCTATCTACCCTTTATGATTTCTTTTCTTCTTATTTCTCGTAATCTTCAATTTAATAATCTTCAAAATACTGTAGTATTGAATATTCCTCCTAAAAATTGCAGGTGTACAATTCAAAACATATGTAGGGGTGTCATTTGAATTTCTATTTCTGATATTTCATATTCAACTTTGGTTTATGCGTTATTATTACCGATGCTGATGTTAAGATATGTTGTAATTTTATTAAAAGTGGGCTTAAACTGGAAAAATAAAATATAGAGTTTCCAGCATTTTAACATAATTCCAGACGCACGTTGCACGCAAGCATACTATAATACTCTGCTATGGTTCCAGTGCAGGACGTTTATTGAATTATTTTACTATAAGATATAGGGTGGGCAATTGGATGGGATTTGGATGATATCCATCAAAATAAATTTAGATAAAAAAGATGATACGAAGACACACACACGAAAACTTGTAACATTCTCGTGAATAATCCAACGAACAAAGCGAACTCGCTTCAAACTGAAATACTGATATCACATCAATATGCATTAGCAGCGTTTCCGCAACAATAACTTAGACAATTATTACTAGGAAATTATTATCAGCGTCAATCTGAGACCGTACCGCTAAGGTAATGTCAAACTGCACAGCACAACAATAAATAATACCGACATAGTTTACCAAATAAAGGAATAATAGATTGTATTTATTTCATGAATTAGATTCGACGGGAATGCATTCGATGTTCGAGCTAAATGATCGAGAAATCTAAACTTGTTGTTTGACGTAAAAATGAGTTGATTGTTCACGAGTTTCTACTTGACATTATTATATCGAATGAATTATTAACTAAATTTAAGAATTCTTAAATAAGTGATATTTGTACCTGCAAATTTGATCATCTGTTAATCTTAATAACCTGTTGTAGTTCGAATGCGCTGCGATAAAAACCCGAAGCAGTTCATCCCAGTGTTTTGACAACTTATTCGATTCGAACTTGAGTGAAACGAAGAAATCAACCGAAACAAAACACAGTTTTACGTCACGAATGGCCACGTGCTTCGAAAATGTAGCCGTTCACAGTCACTTAGAAAGATTGTTACTGTCGTCGCAGGACGATGGAAGCGGACTCGAAAAAACGGCTTCGAACGAAAAAAGACAATTAAAACCGGCGGTTAATTACAACAAACTGATTGCAGCGCTTCCACTCGCGACGACGTCGCTTTTCTGGCGCCGAGTTAGAGCGCCGGTTCCGAATAGTTATCACGCCTGACGCATTTGCATGGCGCTTTCGCTCCACCGTATACACACCCCACCTTCGCGATCGCGATGGAAATATACCCCCGCAGGATGAGAGAACGAGAGGACTCGCACGTGTTTTACTTTTTACTGTTCCGAGGGGGTGGTTATGCCGAAAGACAGAGAGATATGTGGAAAAATTCACTATTTACCAGCGCATTAGAGAAAAGAAGATGACGTTAATTGAAAGAAAGCAGTGTAGATAAAGAGATGAGGATATCTATTTTGACTCACTTTGCATGTTTACTGATAAACGTTCGTAAATTAACTAAATACTATTTAAACATTACACAGTATTACTTTAATGTTCAGATGAGATTCACATTATATCACTTCATAAGTAGAAATTAATAAAGAAAGCGTTGATGCGAAATAAATAAATAATTAAAATTCCAAATAATGATTACAATGCATGAACATAAAAACAAACAACCCAGCCATTATCAAGATCCAATTTTTATCAGCGCATTTGCTTTCTCATCTTTCGGGTTGGTTTCTTCCTGAACTAGATTAAGTCCATTTTATATTTGCAATTCCTACTTTGCAAGTCTGCATTTCCTCGAGATTATTAGGTTATAAATGCTGAAATTAACTAAGCGAGCGCGGTTTTAAATGCCCATAAGATTTTGGGATAAATGCATTTTGTTATTACTGCATTCTTTTGAATCAGATAAAAAGATTTTTCATTTGAATCACAACAACATTCAATGGGGATATACGTCTTTACATTGTTAACAATTAAAACAATATATGCGATTGTATACCACATTTTAGAATAATATACATATCCCAAATGTCCCACAGAACGATCAGTTATTATGCTAATTCAATTAATTAAATCGACAAGACTTCTTGTGCAATTGTAAAATGAGATATGCAAAATTATGATGATTTGTACAATCTTGCTCAATGTCATGTTAAAAACGATTGTGTATTAAGAAATCTAATTAAATTTAAAATGATTTATATTGCAACGTGAATTCACATTTCTACGTTATTTAATTATTGTCATGAATTATAATAGCGAAATTAATTTTTCCAATTGTTTAAAGTATGCTGATGTCGGCTATAAAAACTTTTATGTTTACGATTGAACATTTAAATAAATAAATTGATAAATCCATAACATTAACGATATGCTAATATTGGTTATGTTGAAAAAATAATGGTTAATTGGAGAATTTATTTATTTATTATAGACGATTCGTTACGATACCACAATCATTTATTTTCTTAATACATCAATAAACACAAAAAAATCACAGCCTTTGCAGGGAAGTTACGAGTTTTCAACCATCTACTATTTCTACCAAACTGTATCGGAATTTTAATTCTCTGTGAGCAAACAAGCATGATAAAAAAAATCTCGAATTTTCGCGTTATTTCTCTGAAATTTATCATGTGGCATCGGAAGAGAGCGAGCCGGTGAAAATTAAGCGCGAGAAAGCGAGAAAGATGTACATTTCATTAAGCTAGAGACAGACTGAAATTACATACCCCTATGAGAGGGACCAAGACGTACTGGCCGTTAGTGAGTTCGCGAGAACAGAGATGAAACAGTAGGTAGAACGGAGATGGAAAAGTAATTTGCAGGGGTTAGAAGGAGCCGGCAATATGCAAGTTAATTAATCGGTAAAGTAATGAGAAGAGGGCGCAAGCGCGGTCTAATTCCAAGAAGGGAGGGTGGGAAGCCCTGGTCATCAACGCCTAACCAGATTAGTAATACGGGGTTGGAAAAAAATTTATATCAAACGCTGTTTGATTAAATTTTTTTTTTTCGACAGTGTAATAATACATAAATAAATAATTTCTGTAATGTACAGTGTTCATGTAGAATTGCTTATTTGTGTTTGTCCTGTCACGTTTTTCGACGTTTAACGGTTTCCTGCTAGGCGATTACATTGAACCCATTCCCTTGCAGATCGAAATGTTAATAATTAATCTAATTTATTAGAAGAAAGTTTGCTCAAATCGATTCGGCAGTATACATTAAATTAATTTGCTCTTGTCTACCCATAGGATTATAATTGGCAACGTCAATTATTGTCGAATACATCCTGCAGAGAACTTTTATAATTGCAATTGTAATTAATTACAATACGTTTGTGATTTGTATCGTTAATTACATTCGGAAATTAACTGTCATTGTTTTGTAAACAAACTTGTTGTGTGATATGGATTATTTGAGTTAATGCGAAATATTTGGTTTAATTAGAGGGTAACATTGATTTATTTAGAAGTGGAATATTGAGTTTATTATTACTTTTCAATGGGTATACATAGAGTAAAGAGAGATTGTATTAAGTGTTTGTTATGAAAGGTTTTATACCATATCGACGTAGTTGTTGTATTAAAAAAATATGTATTAAATATAGATGTTTGATAGATTTTATAGTTATCTTCAACAAGTAGAGTTCTTACAGTAGTATAGAAGAGTTTTTCCACGACCACCACCACCACCACATGAGTAAAAACTTACTTACTTAGCAATATCAAGTAACCAACAGCGATCGCATGATAATAATAAAAATAAATAAACAAAATGCGCGTCGTCAACACCAAAACAAAATAAAACAAAACGTTCGAATGCTCATGAACGCGTCGTATTCGTAGGTCAGTTTACTAAAATCACTACGTCACATGTGCGGTCAGTAACGTGACAGGTGCGTTAGCCCGCGTTCGCCGGATCCGGTATTATATGGACAAAGCGAAAAATTGGAAAAAGTCCTTCGCACTGGCGGGCCCAGCCGGTATCTTGGAGCCGCGTGTTCGCCGTATACTATTTCCACGCGAGCCGAGATGGGTCCGGCCACTACTCTCTGACCACGCGGAGAGGGGTTGGTGTAATTACGGATCGCGGGGGAGACGCACCGAGTGCGCTAACAATGTAGTTAACATAGCTGCTAATGAGGTTCGAGACCGCGAAATGAAGGATTACGTTGGGCGGCGACGAATGACATTTTCTATAAGTTATATCGGTAGATAGGTATCGTTAGGTGAAAGAAACGTGAGCCTATTGCTCGGCTATTTTTTTTTCTCCTACAAACATCGCGGTTAATAAGGATAAGAATGTCGAAAGCTTAGGTAACTGTTTGGTGTAAACATTAATAAGTTAGCGAAAGCGTTTGGTTTTACAGCCAATTAACGCTGCTTCTATATTCAAATAGTTACGTTTATTCTCCTCGATTATTCATATAGGTGCTTATTTAAAAAATTCAATCACTTCCTGGGCATTTGAAGTCAATCAAAAAATATTTTATTTTATTTTTCATAATTAATTTATAGCCTTAATATATAATTGCACATTGTTGTATACCAATGGAAAATACGCTGCTCCACAAAAGTTAAGGAAGTTCATAAATATTGAGATTAATTTAAAAGTTGCAGGTTTTTTCATTGCCAAATTTAGTATGAGTTGTAGAGGAAGGGGCAAACAATCCACTCAGATATGAGAGAAAACATTTAATTTCGCATATTTGAGAATTTGGGGATCAAAAAGTCTGTAGGTAATTTAAATAATCGCAAAATTAGCGAACTTCCTTAACTTTTGTGGAGCAGTTTATTTGCCTGCATTAATATAATGCAGCTGACTATGTACAAAATATTTTATCGATTTTTCAAGTTGTTTTGAAGCGCTAGGTAAAGGTAGAGTAAAATTTATTAAGAGCACACCAATAAATATTTCGCGCACATCATAACAGTCGGACGGGGCTTAGTCGGCAATTTTGGAAAGTTTAGAACGCATTTTGACGGTAGTAGGGGTATGTTTTTCGAGCCGGGTCCAACGTGGTCGACGCCGGTCAGACTTTGGGGGTGTAACCACGCCTATATCTTTAATTTGGTCGGTGCGCATATTTATTGGTGTGCTCTCCGTTAATAAATTTTACTCTACAATTTCATTGCTTTTAATGATAAGCTTATTGTAAACGTTAATGATGTTGCAACTTAGACCATTTTATTGGGTAGCTAATTAACCTAATTCACTATATTTTTCTATTAAAGATACAATGGAAAAAATTTCCATTATAACTGCAATCAGTTATTTTTTGAAAATATCTATACCTACTTTAATAATGACATTCTGAATTTACAATGCGATTTGGAATACAAAATCCAGACAATTATAGCTGTTATTTAGCTCTAATGCATAGAGACTAGATAGCACTTTTGAATGGCAATGGATGCGTGTGTGTCGATTCAGACAATAACGCTCCGGCGAAACTTGGCTCAAAGCTGAAAGTAAAAGTTCGTGACTCTGGATTTTAGGTCAAATCCAGACATAAAAGCGTAACGTAAATGCGTAGTTTTAGCGCCACTTTACAGACTTTATGCGGCTAAACAACAGCCAAACACTCTCAATCCAGACACTATTGTTGCTATAAATTTGATATGTTGTTCAAATTCAACGTTAATTTTTTTAATATGAATTAATAGACACACATTCGATTGCGTATATGCATTCAATCAAATGTTGAAGATTAAATGAATACTAAATATCTTAATTATCAATTATCTCCTGCATATAGCTGCGTATAATCTACTAGAGATATTATAGGATATTTTAGAATTTGTATAATTTTTTTAGTAGAAAATCGCCGCAGATATAAAGGATATATTATTTAAATGAAACGGAAAGAACCGTGTGGATATAATTCGATTCGAGGGGCCTAGCGCGGAGCTCGATTCCGCGGCCCTTCTCGGATGCTGAGGCAGAGTGCCGGAGCATTCGGCCGGCATCTCCTAGTGCGTTGCGGGTTGCGGAACATCGCCGAAGAGAGGGGATCATTTGCATACCGGTAGGTGACAAGTCGCGGTAGGCGGGCTTTCAGCGTCCAATGGCAGCACGCGCACTTCGGGGCATTCTCCACGTTAGGAGATTGAACCTCGATGGTTCCGTACCCGCGGGTTCCTCGCCGTCCTTCTTCCACCCACCCAGAAGACGCGATTTTAAAAACCGTCCCAGGGTTAACGCCGAATCCATATTCTCCCGGTCTTTCTTAACTGCGCGTTTATCACTTTTAAGCCGTTCTCATTATCAGCGAAAGAGGAGAGAAAGGATGACGGGCATGGGCGTGCGGCTTCGGCATCG